AGTAAAGATTGTCAGTCAACCATATTACAGAATGGAGTAAAGATTGTCAATCAACCATAGTACAGAATGAAGTAAAGATTGTCAGTCAACCATAGTACAGAATGGAGTAAAGATTGTCAGTCAACCATAGTATAGAATGGAGTAAAGATTGTCAGTCAACCATATTACAGAATGGAGTAAAGATTGTCAGTCAACCATATTACAGAATGGAATAAAGATTATCACGCAACTCTAAAGATGACTTCAGAGTGATCATTGTTGCATTTTTTTTTTAAATCTGTTACAAGGTTGAAGATCATGATGAAATTAATTACTTTATTAATTAATTAATTACTATATTTTTGACAGAACATTCTAGTATGTCTCTGTAAAGATATTTTATACATAAACTACAAAATTTAACAGTTTTCTTTCCAACAGTTGCAGTGAAAAAATACCTATTGTTGTGTTAAATAACAATTAGCAAGTAAAAAAATGTTTTTAAAGTAACTGATAAACTTGGCAATAGTTTTATTGTCCAAACATTAGTGTCTACTTTACTAAATAGATGGTGTAATACATTGTCCTGAATTATAAACACTGCATTTTCTTATCATATATCTCTTTATGACATTTTCTTTATCATATATCTCTTTATGACATTTTCTTATCATATATCTCTTTATGACATTTTCTTTATCATATATCTCTTTATGACATTTTCTTATCATATATCTCTTTATGACATTTTCTTTATCATATATATCTCTTTATGACATTTTCTTTATTATGTATCTCTTTATGACATTTTCTTTATCATACATCTCTTTATGACATTTTCTTTATTATATATCTCTTTATGACATTTTCTTTATCATATATCTCTTTATGACATTTTCTTTATCATATATCTCTTTATGACATTTTCTTTATTATATATCTCTTTATGACATTTTCTTTATTATATATCTCTTTACAACATTTTCTTTATTATATATCTCTTTACATTTTCTTTATCATATATCTCTTTATGACATTTTCTTTATTATATATCTATTTACATTTTCTTTATTATATATCTCTTTATGACATTTTCTTTATCATATATCTCTTTAAGACATTTTCTTTATCATATATCTCTTTATGACATTTTCTTTATCATATATCTCTTTATGACATTTTCTTTATTATATATCTATTTACATTTTCTTTATTATATATCTCTTTATGACATTTTCTTTATCATATATCTCTTTAAGACATTTTCTAAACAATGTCTTGCCATAGACCTGATGTTTAACTTCGAAACAAGTAGATAATATGCTTAACGTTTTGATATTTATGAATTTACATTTTCTGGGTAGATAAATACAACTGGTTCTTACTCTTTCATTTAATAAACAAGTCCTGGTTTTAGAATTGTCTTTCTATCAGTTTGGTTGTTTTTAAAATAGAACATACAGAAATAACGTTCAATAAAGCTATAGTTATAAACTGGCAAGTTTTGATACAAAAATAATTGATAAACATATAACTTTCATATAATGATAACATACTTTTAGTTTAAAAAACTGTATATACTATTTTAAAAGAACAAAAACAAGCTATATGATAACTGTAAGTTACAAGCAGTTAGATTTGAGCTTTATTACTAGTAACTTCTGTGTTGCTAGAAGCCTACTTTCAAGCAATATGCAAGTTCTTTCGTTAGGCTTATTTTCAAGCAATATGCAAGTTCTTACGTTAGGTTTACTTTAAAGCAATATACAAGTTTTAACGTTAGGCCTACTTTAAAGAAATATACAAGTTCTTACGTTAGGCTTAATTTCATGCAATATACAAGTTCTTACGTTAGGCTCACTTTCAAGCAATATACAAATTCTCATGTAAGGCCTGATTTCAAGCAACATTCATAGGCTAGTTTAAATAAACACATAAGCAGAAACCATTACAATGTTAATAAAGAAATTTCCAACATTATAACTAATATGAAACCTACCCTTAATGAAAATTATAATGACTGGAAACCTTTGTCAATTTTCAATAATAAAATATATCTAAGAAGAATGACACAGACAAAAAAAAGAGGTAAGTACTCTAACACTAATTTGTTACATTATATATATATTGGGCAGTGTTGGAAAGCTACAATATGATTTTTCACACAATTAGTGATAAAATTTCTTGTTCTTTACTAAAGTTGCATCATAGGTTCTTTGTTGATTCCACACAAAATCAAACTCTAGGTTCAACAATAATAAAACTGTGATGTTCATACATGTACTTGAATATAGATAAAACAATTTTACCCACAGCTTTGTATACATGCTTGAAGAGTATCGGTATAGTATGTTAATACAAGTTCTTTCACAGGATTGCTTTTAAGATCACGATGAATAAAATTGAAATTTTTATGAAACATTGTGTGCAATAAAGAATTGTTTTATATCCTGTATAGAGTTCAGAAAACTACATGGTAATGTTATCACTCACTGAAGACACTGCACCATCACAATCTGAACTGTATGATAATTTGTTTATATAAACAAATATAAACCACATGTGGCCACAGGAGAATACAAGTTTCTTCACAAGAGTGGATCTGTGCCATTCCAGTTAACAGCAGCTTCTTTCCACCTGAAAACAACCATATAATGTGGTGAGACTGAAAAGAAAGAATACATTTATTGCATCACTTTTATATAAATAGAAACAGTGCTCTAAGCAGATAATAATTCCACAGGTGTTGAAGGAAGTACTTACACATGTATTAGTACATCTAATAATATAAACTATTCAGTGTACTGGAACATTAACAGATATATAAACACAACATCCTGTCAAATACATAATAACTTGTGTAGCATGTTCTACAAACATCAGCAAGAACTGCTATCACATTCTACAACCTGTTGTGAGAATTAACCTTCCACATACTGTTGTGAGAATTAACCTTCGACAAACTGTTGTGAGAACTAACCTTCGACAAACTGTTGTGAGAACTAACCTTCCACAAACTGTTGTGAGAACTAACCTTCCACAACCTGTTGTGAGAATTAACCTTCGACAAACTGTTGTGAGAATTAACCTTCACAAACTGTTGTGAGAATTAACCTTCTACAAACTGTTGTGAGAATTAACCTTCTACAAACTGTTGTGAGAATTAACCTTCCACAAACTGTTGTGAGAATTAACCTTCCACAAACTGTTGTGAGAACTAACCTTCCACAAACTGTTGTGAGAACTAACCTTCCACAAACTGTTGTGAGAACTAACCTTCCACAAACTGTTGTGAGAATTAACCTTCTACAAACTGTTGTGAGAATTAACCTTCTACAAACTGTTGTGAGAACTAACCTTCCACAAACTGTTGTGAGAACTAACCTTCCACAAACTGTTGTGAGAACTAACCTTCCACAAACTGTTGTGAGAATTAACCTTCCACAAACTGTTGTGAGAAAGTTCTCACAACAGTTTGTGGAAGGTTAGTTCTCACAACAGTTTGTGGAAGGTTAATTCTCACAACAGTTTGTAGAAGGTTAAAACCTTCTACAATATGTTGTGAAACATTATATACTTTATTAAAGTATGTAATACAGGATTAAGATTTTCTGAGAAAACAACAAAAAGCAGACTTAACATATTCACAGTACCTAGTTTGTATACATAGTTCTAACGGAGGCACAAAATCACTATCACCAGATTCATGAAATACCTGTCCTCTTGGATCTAGAAAAATAAAGTCAATGTTATCAATTAACTGGAAATCTTTATTGGAGGATGAAGGTCATAACAGTTAACAAGTCTTCAACAAGCAATAGTACAGCTATTTAAGTTCTACCAACAGCTACTGGTAAAAAAGAAAATAAATTCTCTCACAGAGCACAGATCAGCTGTATAGTAAATCAATAAAGTCTGGACCATAATAACTGTAGGAAATGTATAATTAAGACACCTGTGTAGTCCACCTGTTAGAATTACAAAGTGTTCTTAAACGTACCTGTAAAGAAACATGACACTTGTAGCTTTGTGAGAAATTAAACTTAGCTTCCATTAAAACTTAAAAAAAAAACTTTTGTAAACAAAGGCAAAACTAAAAACAATACTTAGAAGCTGTATATTGAATTCTGATAGAAACATTACTAACAATACTTATTAAACATTTAACAGGAAATATGAAAAACTGAAATGAAGCAACAATAATTAATTATATAACAAAAGTGCATCATTTTTAGCCGTACCTGTATTAGTGACGTTGGAACGTACCTACTGTTAAACAAATCTCTTCATCCTGCCTAGACAATCCATCGTAGTAAAACAGATGAAAAGGGTCTTTGTTAAGTGAGAGCACTTCTTTACATGTAGCAAAAAGTACCGAAAAATGACTTTCACTAAGGACAATCCAGATGGGATTTCGTGGGTTTTTCAAGTGAGATCCCACCTGTAAAGAATGTCCATCAACTTGATAGAATCTCGTTACCAATAAATATGGTGCAATTACAACAGGAAGAAAAAAGAAAGTAAGACATGCCTAATAATATGAATTATATAGGTTTCAATGATATAACAAGCACCGTATGCAGCACCACAAACAGTTTTTTTAAATTGTTAACACAATGTAGTGTATTTGGCTCATCCAAGCTGGTTCTTTATTTTCTTAATTACAGTAAAATCTTTACCGATACAAATTATTTTAGTTTACATTTTATCATACAGGAATGCAAAATTAGCATATTTCATACCTCACATGACTGGTAATGTTCAAACAATGACAGAAATCCTACATCGCTCTGTTCTGGTATCCCATGTAAGGTAGTACCATCTAGACCAGATTTTCCAAGCTCTACAGTACCATTGAAAACGTTAGAGACAGCTTTCCCAATAAGAAACAAGTTCACCATTTCCTGTACGTAAACAAAATATATTCAACTACTGAAGAATCCTACTAACAGAAACAGTTATTCAACAAAACAAGAGAATCTTATTAATACAAACAGTTATTCTACAAAACAAGAGAATCTTACTAATACAAACAGTTATTCTACAAAACACGAGAATCTTATTAATATAAACAGTTATTCAACAAAACAAGAGAATCTTACTAATACAAACAGTTATTCTACAAAACACGAGAATCTTATTAATATAAACAGTTATTCTACAAAACAAGAGAATCTTACTAATACAAACAGTTATTCTACAAAACAAGAGAATCTTATTAATATAAAGTTATTCTACAAAACAAGAGAATCTTATTAATACAAACAGTTATTCTACAAAACAAAAGAATCTTATTAATACACACAGTTATTCTACAAAACAAGAGAATCTTATTAATATAAACAGTTATTCTACAAAACAAGATAATCTTATTAATATAAAAAGTTATTCTACAAAACAAGAGAATCTTATTAATATAAAGTTATTCTACAAAACAAAAGAATCTTATTAATATAAACAGTTATTCTACAAAACAAGAGAATCTTATTAATATAAACATTTATTCTACAAAACAAGAGAATATTATTAATATAAACAGTTATTCTACAAAACAAGAGAATCTTACAAATAGAAACAGTTATTCTACAAAACAAGAAGTGTATAAGCACTGTTTTAATGATTATCTATCACAAGTTTTTAGAAAATAACTTCATAAACTACTTTTAAACAAAAAAAAACGACATAATTAAGTATTATGAGAATAAGGTAAAATTTGAACTGATTCTATGTCAAGGTTAATAACATCTTTTTCTTAACTTCAACAATACATTTTACATCTTCTATAAAAATCCTCACACATTACTAAGTACAAAGATGATTGTTAGTTCCGCTCTGACAGGATGTTAATATTAAACATTACTTCGTCTCACACAATGATTTCTGTCTATCGCAACATATAAAGTTATCTTTAAAACACTAACAATACTCACACAGAAGAGAAGAAAATGTAAACTTACCTGTGTGCAGTATCCTTGTCGTCCTACTAAAGTACAGCTTGGATCATCCATGTCTTTCATTACTCTAAATATAAACAGATCACTACAATACTTAATGCAATACTTACTGAAATTTATGTTCTACATTTTTCCAACTTAGATACTACACATGAAGATAATCTAACTAGGATGTGCAACTATCTTGATGTATCTCTAATAAACATCAGTCTGTAATAGAAGTGTT